GGAGATCATACGACACGCGAATTGATTATACGGTAATATACGAAGCTGAAACTGTAATGACAATGAAATCATTTCTACGCAAAATGAGTATCCCAAGGAATATCTTTCCTTGCGATTGCGACGCAAGATTTCGAATGTGTTAGTAGTATGTATTTTATCAGAATATTTTATCAGAATAAATAAAAAGTAAAACTATACTATCGGCAAATAAATTCTATACAATGGCATTATTGTCATTTGCCAATGCAATAATGACTTTATAATAATTTGCGAATTTTATGAACTCGGCGTACCACCCTTAAAAAAGACTAAAATACGTGTAATTCCGATAAAGCCAATTTTAGATACTATAAGCACATAAAAGCGGTTACTATGTGAAATAAAAAAAAAAAAAAGAAATACGCGACATACTTGTTGACTATTTATATGAAGATATTAAATAATATGAAATAATTTTCTCTCTCGACTATTTCTCGTAATGTTGAACACAATGATAAACACAATACACACATAACAAAATAATAACGCTTTCAATTACATCGATACCTTGCTAAATTAACGCCAATATTAATTAGCTTGTCTAAATGTAATGTGCATCGATAATATACATCCGCTTCGTTGTTCGTTCTCTACGTCCCAGAAAAAAAATCGATTAGGATCGGTTATATACGTTCTGGGCATCCCTATTTCGCGTTTTCCACTACATGTGAATTCACGTGTAGCTACAGTTACTACACTATTGTGTCGTTTGACGTCTCCTTCTATTCTTTCAAATTGCACGGGCTGTGTGTGTATGTTTCGGGCTAGTGATGTGCGTGTGGATGTGGAATGCGTGTGTGAATGCGAGGAAACATGAACGAACGAGTGACAGTGATTGAGGGGGACAGGGTGATAATCTGGCTTGCGCGAGGATTCCGATGGGGCATAGTTTGAAGGACTATCACACAATGGATGGACTTTTGAAATTTCTACAATCGCGCGCCTCTATTTCGACGAGGTTTTCTCTCGCATAGAGAAATTTCCAGAATAACGCCGATCGTATTAAACATGTATTCCAATATCAAAATGTATCCTCCGTCCTTTGCAAGAATTAAAATTAAACTAGCATAAATTAAACGTAAATTAAAAAATTTATCTTCAATTTTTTTGGAATCCGTAGCGGAAATCAGTAGGCGAATGGAAATTATTTTTAGATAATAATACGATATTCTTTATTTAATGCGTACTTAATATCTCGGCCTTTTAAATTTTACATAAGCTATAATATACATTTTCAGAAATAGTAAATACTGTAATAATAGAAATGGTAATATATAATAAGTATCTTACATGATTAAAAAGGTATAAATGATTGAACATTTTGCCTAAAATGCAGAGAATCGGAGGAACATCCATTAAAATTATAATTTTGATCAAAAGATGAAATTTCAGATGGTGTATACGATTCGTCCATTATTTCAATAACGAGTGTTTTTATGTCACGTAAATTTTCCGCTGTCAAAAATAATTCTTAATGAAATGCAATTATTTGTCTCATTATCCGACAGCATCGACAAAAATAATGGGAAACAAAATGTATCAACGATACTTCTGTTTACAGCGTACATACATAAAAGCATCAACAGTATCGATTGAAAACACATGGAATTGTTTCAAAACAGATCTCGATGTATGAAATATCGAATATCGTGGAAAGAATTTTGGAATTTAAACCAATACTGGCATCCATATTAATTTATTCACGTTTCTCGCGTTCGTATCTATCAAAAAAAAAATAAATAAATAAAAAAAAAAAATTCGGCGCGTGTATTTTAACGTACACCAAAAAGAACTAGTGTATTGTAAAAGGAATAAAACTTTCTACTCCTCTTATTAGACAGTTTGAAATGTTTGAATGCCAGAGTTATTTTTTCCATTTTATTTTTTCCCTTTTAACAGTTTGCCTCCGTTTGATAAAAACAAAATTGCGACTACAATTTTCAACGGTTTTTATTGATCGATTAAACACAATAATTTGACAAAATTAAAAAGGGTAGAAATCAAATAGAGCGGATAGAGGGTAGGGTGGGAGGACATGCTGGGTTCTCCTGTCACTATCGCTAGCGGTTGTTGGTTGGCTATGGGTGTCTCGTGTATTCTGGGACATTAGAGGTTGTAAAAGGTTCATTGGACGTATATATATAGTATAAGAAAAGAGTTTTTCTATACAAGAATATTCATTAAAAAAAGTTGTATATAATATGTATATATAGACAGATGTATATATATATATACGGAGATAATATATATATGTATATATATATAAATACGGCACACACAGAGAGCATGCGACACGCACGACAGGTGGACAAAATACAAAAAAACGTAGGTATCCCAAATAGAATAAGAGAACAGTTTTATGTGTGAATGAAACAACGAGATCGAGACAAACGTGAAGGAAACTCTGTGATAGATATCGACTTACCTCGAGCAGTTGTTGATTCCTGATCTCCCGCTCTCGTCTGACAGCTTCCAGCCGTTCTGTCTTCTCTTGCTCCTTGATAAGCCTACAATGAGAGTATCATTAAGTACACGTAATTCCCGAGCAGTAAAATGACTCGAACTAATCATTATAATCAACTGGGTTACTAGTAAACTACTTGTCCATAAATTTTACGAATGTTTAAAAGAATTCGAGTTCTGAATTAACATAGCGATCCGCGACACTGGCTTTTAGATTCCTGCTCGATAATGTTTACGATTATGCGCAAGCAATAATCTTGCGGCAAGAAAAATAAATACGCGTTAATTAAACATCAACATGTTACAATCGCGAAATTTTGGATTAAGTATTAAATTCCAGTAAGTAAATAAATATCTAACTTCTCACATAGCGATGAGATTAACACTTCAATAAATTTCATTTATTTAACTATTATTGACAATCATCAACATTCTATCAATTTTATGAAGTGATGTCAACACCAGATAATAACGCGTATTAATCCTTTCATATTTTTTTAATCTACTCGAGTAATATTATTTAATACTGTTTAAAAATAAATTTGTTTAAATAGTAATTAATATATTTATAAATAATGGAATGTCGTACCTAGCTTGTTCTTTATGTCGTTGCGCTTCTTCCTTCGCGAGTTTTTTCGCATAAGCTAGCTTCTCTCTATCATATTGATTGTTCGTCCGTACGTCTCTAAAGCCACCAGCCGCTCTGAGTTCTTCCAGTCTTCGCGCTACTTCCTGAGCACCGAGTCTGACGAATTCAGCCTCTGCTAAACCCATCGTTGGCTGCAGGAATTCCCCCACCAACGGACGAGAGGAAAACGAAAAGTTGGCGGTAGTTAATTCGGCTGGATTTTGATGTTCCAGAAACTGAAATTAAGAGATTGATTTTCTTCTTGAAAAAAGTCGACTTCAGTAATCCAACTAAATAAATGTCATCTGTATTTCGATGCAATTATGTTATATCCTTATTACGTATTATGTATCACGATGTAGATATGATAATAGCGCGCGAAAGCAACGATAGAAAGTTTAGCAAAGTACTCTAAACTTGCCAGCGACTTCATGCGAATCACTTTTGATAACGTACACCAACCATCACCGGTCGTAATATGTTGCAACCAACCTTCACTAGATCGGGACTGCTCCTAAAAGTTTTCCCGCAGGGGCTGTAATACGACACGTCGCCTTTTATCACTCCCGTCTTTCCTAGTCCCTTGATAACCGTTTCACGCTTCCAACCGCGCTCCAACGGCATTTGAAGGTCTCTTTCGCTGGGTTTGAGTTTCCTCCTCTTCGCGCTAGGTGTGCCTTCCGCATTGTCGTCATCAGTATCCGTGACAACATCGGTATTACTGCCGCTTTCGCTGGTCACGTCCATGTTACTCTCTTCTCCCGAAGCCTCCAGCAACTTGTTTTTCATCTTTTCCTGCAAAGATTTCTATATAGGGAGAATGGTTTTAGTGCGAAATCATAAGTAAAAAAAAAAAAAGAAAAACGAACATGGCTCCTCGCCCACGAAGCACGAATTGGTCGAGGTCGCTTCTTCTTCTGTATCTTCGTTAGCAAGTGATAGTACTTTAACAAAAGATAATCGTAAAGATATACGGAAATGACATAAGTACAGAAGTCAGAATAAAAGAATAATGTTCTATTAAAATGTAATTGTAACTTTTAAATTAATACTCGTATATATATTAAAATTACACGTTAAAATTAATACTCGTACGATAAAGGTATTTCACGTTGACGCCGATAGCTGGATTTTACCTGGTTCTTTTCGTCACTCTGACCAGTAGCGACGGAAGCGTGCAGTTGAGCAGCCAGTATATTCGACCTCAGCAACGATACTTGGTGAGACAATGGCACACTTGGATCCAAAGTCGGGGTGGGCTTAATCCCTAGAGCTCTGCTTTGAGCCAACAACGACGCGACCGTGTTCTTCTTAGGCTTCGATACACCGCGACCGAGATTTCGCGGCCTACCGTCCTTGTGATGGGTGGCAGAGCTTGCACTCTCGCTTTCCTCGCTGCCGCTACTCGGCCGCTGTGGCGAGTCTGCGGCAGCGAAAAGCTGCGCCAAGGAGGGACTAGGTGACGCCGGCACCGGCACCGAATTCTGCGGAACTCTTCTTGGCTTTGGTCCGGGTTTTCGTCTCGCTACAATAATTCATAAAGTTTTGGTTAACTGAACCACGTATTTTTTTTTCAGGAAAATTGACTTCTTGGAAACAAAGACGAACTTTTCTATCGAGAGACTAAAATTCTCAACACGTAAATACTCGCTTGTGTATGTAAAATCTTCATGGATTTTGGAAACGACATAAATAAGAATACAGGACTATCGGAATATTTCCTGATTCGACAACTAACTTACATAATTTTACTTTAGTTTTTCCAAAAGACTGAGTTTAAAAAATGTGCAGATTTAAATAAACAAGCTATATTGTGCGTTTGCGAAAACGCTTTTAACTCTTTTTTGCTTCACGAGCAATTCCTCCACTAAATGAAAACGTACAACGACTTTATGTCACAATGGTTTTAAAAAAATAATAACTGAAAATGCAGTTTCTATACTTACACGTTCGATCAGAGGCAAGTAACGATTGGCTTAAATTACTGAGCTGACTGAGCGGCTGACTACCAGAAATTGGCGAGCTACTGCTCGTCGTGGCGGGCTTTAAGGAGAGATTTAGGGGTGCGTCCGAATCGTTGATGTTGTTGTTCGCGTTGTTGCTACTGCTGCTACCGCTGCTAGTATACGTCGGTGGCGCCGACAGAACGGAGCCGTTCGTTGAATGGGCCGGCAGTTTGATTACTTCTACTCGATCCACTGAATCTCTGTATTCGTTCGAGTCGGTCTGAGGAAAGACGAAACGCGCACGATTACATGACATATCGCGTACAAGTACAGACATTCGTGTAGCGAATATAAAATTAAGGGAGCAATTTAATGAACTCCGCAACTGAATGAAAATAAATCTTGAAGTATTCGTTGTATTAAAGAATAACAAATAATAAATGTTGATGGATTGCAATTTCATGCTTGAGTGTTTCGCAATTGTGACTGACACGTGCAGTGACTGAACGTACCCCCGTGCGATTGTACTTTCTCGGTTCTATCATTAGCGACGAGGACGACGTCGTGTTTGTCTGATGGGCGCTAAGGGTTGGGACAGGCGGCGGATGTACGCTGACGCTGGGAGTATCCAAGGATATTGTCTTCTTCCTGCCGCGGTTTGTCGTTCCAGGAACCTTCGGACCGACTATACTCGACGTATACTTGATAATCTCCGTGTCGGGAGGTAGGCGCACACCACCCAATATACTGCTAGGATCACTAGATAAAATATCATTGTGAAATTACTTATTCTTTATGGCACTTGAGGTAGATTAAATTATATAATGAGAGAGAGAGAGAGAGAGAGAGAGAGAGAGAGAGAGAGAGAGAGAGAGAGAATATAATTGAACAGTGAGGTTCAAGAATTTAATTGTATTAAGATTTAAAAAATGGGCCTACTTTATATATTCTAATTTCAATCATAAATCGTATTATAGAGCTTCGTGAAAAATCTATCGCGTAATTGAATTAATATATTCACCTTCCTTCCTTCGCAGAACTGTCGCGATAGGAAAAACGATAGCGTGAAAATACAATTTTTTAACGAGTTAAATAGAATCAATCTGCGACCTTGTTTATTGTTAAATATGCGAAACGAATAATCTCTCACCTGACGACGTTGGATTGCGAATTTGGCGTACTGCTGACCGGGGTACTATGATGAGAGGATGTCACTGGTGGTTGAGTGGACACCGGCAGGCTGCTGCTCGTCATACTTGGCGTTGTTGAGCTACTACTGCTAGCTGGCGGTGTCTTGTGACTCTTGCTTGACTTAGCTGCTCGGCCGCGAAAACGTAAACACAATTGTACATCTAAATCTAGATTATCTTCGAAAAAAACGTCCGCGTTCATCTCAATCCAAGACCGGCAAGACTGTCAATTGTTACGAAAGTAAGTTCAGTACTTTGAAAAGTCTCAAGTTTCTACCTCATTAACAAGTAGTTAAAAGTCTTGTTTAACTCGAACTTGAGAGAAATTTTAAAATTATATTACAACTTCCAATATAAATAAAAATATACAAAACTCAAGCATCTTGCCCGCAAAATAGAAAATAATTACAGTGATAAATAAAGTGACGAGAAAGAGCGTAGATATAGCTTGGGTAAAAACAAATGTAAAAATATCGTAAAACAAAAAGCGAGAAGCAAAAATTGTGTCTCACGTCGTCAGACGACTCTTTAATATTTCGCGACTTAAAAAGAGAAAACAGTTGAAAATATTCCGAGCAACGTTGCCATCTCGAAAAGACTCGGCGATCGAGGATTAAGAGTACGGAGGCGAACGTTTCTCGAGCATTGTATTATGCAACATTGTCGATCGTTGTTACTTACACTTACTGGACTTGTGGGACGAGAGGGACGGGGGATTAAGTAGAGAGGCGGGATAGGGTGGCAGGAGGCTCTCGGTGCCGGGCGGAAATCCTGGGAGTCCTGCCGCTCCTTGTAGCCTCGCGAGGTAGTCTTGCGCCGCCAGATGAGAGGCCATTGTCCACCATGCAGTGGCTGCTGGATTGATGCCTGCAACGTGAATAGTGATACATCCGGTAAATCCGCCCGGTCTATAAAATTCGATCTCGAAAACACTGCTCAACGCGCTCGATTGTCCGGGTCTGGATGAGCCAATGAGAGATAGATGTAACAAAATATTGTTCTAAAAGAGACGTCTTTACGAATAACTAAATTTGAAATGTCTAAAATAGTCAAGATGTCTTGTGGAAAAAAAAAAAAGATCTCTTCGATTTGGATAGAAATTAGAAGAGAAATTTTGATATTGTAATAAAAGGTTGAGGTCGCATAAGTGCATTCAATCGAACATACGAAACATCTATTGCGCTCTATTGCACCGATAGTCCTATGTTTCATTGAATACCCGACTTACCCTAATTGACCCAGGACTTTCAGAAACGTACGAAGAAGGGATAGCGAGACGAGTGCGAAAAGGAGGGGGTCGGCGGAAAATTCACTTACCCAGACTTGCAGCTTGACTGGCGGCCACGCTGAGCGTACCGAGGCTGCTGTGAGGGTACGGGGACGGGGGTGGTGCCGAGGCTGGTGTGTGACCCCCAAAGCCAGGCGCTGAGCCCCCTCGGCCCAGAATAGCGTAAGCCGAGGGCAAATGGGGAGCCCCCAGGCCATAACCACCCGGCATCCCGCCGAAGAGTGACGATGCTGCGCTGTCGCCTCGAGACCAGTATGCTGCTAAAATTAGAATCGGGGAGAACCGTTATGAATGGGTGCAAATCCGCGAGTTCGGCACGTATCTCTTACGTAAGCTCGATAAGTGACGTCGCCGAGCGAACACGATGCTGTCTATCTCACAGTAGTAGCGTTCTCAGTAGTAGAGAACACTTACCGATATACCATCTGATCAAATTTGACCCGGACTGGTCCATTTAAACCGCGCGCGTAAATTGAATCGGTAAAAATTTTTTTTTTCTAGATTGGTACAACCTTTTCTGACATTCGTGTGAAATTTGAGCGGGATACGTCAGTTAGTGTGTGTTTGGCAGCCATTTGTTTACGACGCAAAAAGTTTCTCTGGCGATTTTTACTATGAAAAAAAAAA